CAAATTTCTAACCCGAGTTTTGGAATCCTTCCCCCCAATCCCCCTCACATTCCAAATAAGGGCTTTAAACATTAGAATTTTTTTGATTAGTTTGAGCCCTAGTAGATCTAGGTGTTTCTGGCATCGTATTCTTCCCATGATTCTTTTTTTTCTTTTGCATTTGAGGAGATTCTTCCTCTTCAATGTTTTTAGAAATATGCTCAGAACCATCAGAGGAAGAACTACTATTACTGCCACCCCCATCACCCAAATCTTTCCTCTTATCAACAAGTAAAACAGAGTTAGTGTTTGGTATATACTCCCCTTCTTCATGATCTTCAATGCCAACCTTGGCTTTTTCCTGAATAGTTTTAGTAATGGCCTCCCCCCTATTTACCTCCTTTCCAAGCATAGAGTCAACGGAAATAAAAATTTTAGGACTTTTTTCAGATTCTTCATTAAGAACTTCATTAACTAAATCTAAATTTGGGTTATCAACAATAGCATTATCAATTCCCTCTCCATTCTCCAAATTGTTTAAATCATCCACCTTCTCTCCACTGGGCTCATGAATATTGGGAAACATACCAACCTTCTCAACATTGGAAGGTAAACCATCCAGTGAATTAGGGTCAATAGAATCCTTCGATAAGTTATCAGTATCCGTGACGATTTTCTTGCCAATGGAGTTGTTTGTAGTTTTTTTGAGTTCCGGATGCAATTTAAAGCAGTCAACCAAATCATGTCCGTGAGATTTGCAATGAGTACAGAAATCAGGCATCTTTTCAAATTCGACCTTTTGTAAATAACCAAAGGTTTTTGATCCAACCCAAACCTCTTTAGCATATTTTTTCGTAATATCAACCTCCACAAGAACCCTAGCCACCGATGGCCGAGTTCTTGAAGCGGTCGCTTGATCCGTTTGAAGCGGACGACCGAAAATCGAACCGAGAGCAAATAAAACCTTAGTGTTAAAGAAATGAAGCCTTAAAATCAGAAAAGAAATCCATATAGGAACGATCGGGGACTCTTCCTTGACATCAAAAAAGGGAGTCCATTTTAATATGCGCATTTGACAGTTAAGAATAAAGTAAGAACGACGAGCAAACACGCGACTATAGTCCAAATCATTGGACAGGTTAATGGCAATATGCTTAGAATCTAACAAACCCACAGAGTAAAATCCCGTTAACTTAAGATTTCCGAAAAAAATACGAATCGCGTCCAGATTGGGACTACGGAGATCAAATTTACCAACTAACGTAAATCGAAAAGGAGACGCAAGCTTTAACACTACTTCATCAGAAATAAGAATTGCAGGAACTCCGTTAAAAGTAGATTGAGTCAGCGAAGGAAGGGTATCACCTGAAGGTGTCCCAGCAAGGACATCCTTAAAGGAGCGAGATTTGGTCGGCGAAGGAACATCCTGGTCCAGATTGAAGAAGCCTTTGTTCGGATCTTGAATCTTGGAGGAGACAGTCCCCCAAGGGGTCAAGGAAGCAGTCCCCAACATCGGGTGCCCCCAAAAATGGCTAAGAGGTAAGGAAACCACCAGCCCAGCAACAGTAGGTAGAGAATCGCACGAAACCCACACGAAAACCAGGAGGAGAAAGCCGGAAAAAACGAAGGAGACGGGGGAACCCTAGTTCGCCAGAGCGCCGCTAGGGTAAAAAAAATTATAATAGATAGTCCTTCCTCATAGCATTGAATTGCCGATAAGAACAGATTTAGATTGACGAGGGTGGAAGTAAATTCAGCAAATGGAAACAAAATCAGAACATTCTGAGCAACAACCGCAATATTTCAAAAAAATAAATTTTATTGATTTAAAACATACTTTAAAATATTTATAATTTATTTTACCATATTGGCTTCTAATTTCTATCTTGTAATAATAAAAAATATATATACCGTATAATTATCGAAAAAATAATTTTTAAAATTATCATAATAGCCTTATATTTGAGGAATTTTTTTTTTCAGAAATACTCCTAGCTAGGAAAACTTTTCATCATGAATCCATTGGAATATTATTGTGCCCTCAAAATATTTATAAAATTCTTTTTTTACTATATTGGCCTCTGAATTGTAAATTAATAATATCATATAAAATTTTTAAAATTATTTTTCTAAAAGAGTAAGAATAGTCTTATGTTGAGCCCAAATTTTTCATCAAAAATTAATTTGATTAATATAGTCTTTCCAAAGCCTGCCAAGTCCACCCTGCTCCTTTTTTCCTAGAAACTTCAACTCGGTCTTCATGGCCACTCATTCCTTAATTAAATCACTCTCCCTTCTTCTTCTTCTTCTTCTTCCTCCTCCCTTTCCTCCGATCACCTCTCTCAAAAAAAATATTTGAAAATAATTTTCCTGCAAATTAATCACTTGCACTTGTATTATCAATGGCCTCTTCTACATCAACCATCATGTAAGTCTCTCTCTCTCTCTCTCTCTCTCTCTCTCTCTCCATCAAAAAAATTTCTCTGTTTTGATGTTTTGTGAAGTTATAATATAACAATAGAGTTACTTTATTTATTTAAAATTACATATTCGACATGTGCAGTTCTTAGTTTAGGAATGCTGCAGGCGATTTAATGTGATAGATCTATGAGCTATTTCTTATGAGAATTTTTTTTTTCATTTAAGATTTTATTTGGAATAATTTTTTTATTGCTTCTTAAAACAATTTTGTAGTATAAAATCTTTAACTTTTATATAAAAAATTGTTTTAAGAAACAATAAAAAACTATCCCAAACAAAATCTAAATCAACATATTTTTACTACTGTCTCTCTCTCTATTGTTATTATATTTGTTCTTTGTAATGAAATAGCTTTAAATAGTAAAAAGACTATGCAAGTACACGATTTATATAGAAATTTCATTTTTTTTTTACATAAAGATGAAGACGACGATGCATTATTTTATGTAGAAATGTCCATAGGTGTGGATTTAACTGTAGTGTAGGTATTGTCCACTAAATTTTTAGTTGAATTTTTAACTCATTTTCTTACACACACCCAATAATTTAAAATTTATGTGATACTTTTTGAATTGTATTAATCGATCATGTAAGAGTTTCTCAAACAACTTAAAAATAGACTAAAATATGTTGATTTGTATTAAAATTTAATACACTTATGCTCCAGCATTGTACGTATCGACTTTAAGTATTACTTAATTGCTTTGGTTGCTTATAATTTCATTATTTTTAATTTTAAGACATTGGACATAAGATTTATATGTTGATAATATTCACTCAATTTATACATGTGCAGTGCTCTTATTATTTTTTGCAATTTGATCAAAAAATTTAGTTTTTGGCATCCTATTTTTTTTTCTTGTGCTAAGGAATAGTAGCCATTTTAACTGCTACTACATGGCAAAATTGCAACAATTAAAATAGCTATTATTTTACGTATTTGAAGCAGTTTGCAAACCGCTACAGAAAGTACTAGCTACTAGCAAATACAAATACAATAGATTTGCAGCAGTCATTAAACCGTTACATTTATTTCTATAGCTTTTTAAACCACTGCAATAGGTTAAAAAAAATTTAGCTAAAGCTTTATTTATTGATAGTGAAAATAAAACAATTATATAAATGGTGTAACATATCAATGGATATTGCCACAAAAAAGAAGTGTTAGAAAACATTAATCTAAACAAGAAGTTACAAATTAAGAAATTTTTGTAATTGGATGTAACACTTAGGCTTCATTTGGAATGATTTTTATTCAGTTTTTTTATGTAATTTTTTAGTATAAAATTAAAATTTTTGTATAAAAAAAACTACTTCAAAAAGTAGTAAAAAAATTCTCCAAAACGAAGCTTTAATTTAATGAATTAAGTGCTCGTCTCTTTCACTAAAAATAAGATTTTTAAGCCAAAGATTCCTTTGCAAATAGGTAGTTTTCTAAGGCAAAAAATATAAATTCGGTGAGATTGCCCTATCTATGTATATAGGTAGTTTTCTAAGGCAAAAAATATATATATGCACACATGTCTTTGTTTGATATTCTGTGGCGGTCAAAGGTGGCTGCTGAAATGACAATATATTTTAATCTTTATTATGATATTGTTATCACATCATTATGAGACATTGCCTTTATTCCTTTGCAAATCATATTAGGTTTTGATTTAAAAATATTATATTTATTTTGAAATTAATTCTACATATAATAATATACTAATTTGAAAATAAATTTAAATATCTTTATACTAAGACATTCTTAAATATCTTTTTTTTATTTTTATTTTATGAGACTAAGAAAAAAATTAGAGGAATTTAAATAGATGCCACAAATATGTTTATGTATTAAAATATCTAATATGTAAATTTTATATTTACTTATATACCGCTTTAACTTCTAAATCAATTCAAAACATTTGCATAAAAGTACATGTTTTATTTAAATAAGTTAATATCAGTAATATTTTTTATGCAATTTATAATTTTGAGCATTATATATATAAATATAAAGATTTATATGTTAGTCATAGAAATACATACAAATTTGTTGTTAATATATATATAATGTTTAGTGATATTTGAAGATATAAAAGAGTGCATATATTTGCCATGAAAATAAACAGTGATAAAGAAGAAGAAGCAAAGGAGGAAAATATAGATGAAGAAAGGAGCAAAAGAACGATGACTATTCAAGAAGATGATTACAAGTGGAGAAAGTATGGGGCAAAGTATATTTACAAGAAAAAAAAGTTTAGGTACGTATATGTACATTAAATTTTAATATTTATTTATATAAATTTAAATAAACATCAAAACTTAGATATTAGCAAGATATGTGCATATATAAATATTATATGATAAGTATATAAATTCTTCTTATACTTCCTTAGTTTCCAATCTTTATATATATAAATATGTGCAGAAGTTATTTAAGATGTGTGAACAAGAACTGTAAGGCGAGGAAGAGGATGAATTGGCCATCAAATGATCCAAACAACATAGATATATCATACGAAGGAGATCACAACCATAGATGTATGGAATCTATGGCCTCTTCTAAAACCACCATCATGTAAGCTTTGCAATATTTTCTTTGAATTCTTTGTATCTATCTAATTATATATGAATCTACCTATTATTCGACTAAGCTTTCTTAGTTTTCTTCAAAAAATTTCATTTTTTGCTTTGTTATTTTATGCGAAGTTAGCAGTTTTTGTAATTATATTTACCTTTTTAATCAAAATTATGCATTGAAAGAAAAATATTGTGGAGTTTGACTTATGCCTTTCGAAGAAAATGCATTACATATGCTGATGTGTATTAATCAATTAAAAGAATATGTATAATTTTTTTGTACTTTTAATATATATATATATTTTTCTAATGTAAGTTCTATTTTGTGGCTTTACTTTGATTAATTACAGGTTATGTTAGTTTACACTAAAAAAAAATAGAGATTTGTTTTGTGCCAAAAGTGGGGTTTTTTTTTTGCCATATAGGGCCTAGGCATTGATTAAGAAAAAGTTTAAAAGTCCTGAAAGGGACCAATATATCAATAACACTCAAAGAGCTACAATCCAAAAATTAAGAAAAAAAGGTCCTAATAGCCAAAGATTCCTAACTATTATAAAATAAACAACAAAAAATAAAAGAAAAAAGGAGATCGCCAAAAAGCCAAATCCAAAAGCAGCCCCAAGCTGAAATAGGAGTTCGGCACAAAAGACAAAATAATTATGTGGGGTTGAATTAAGGATGGGCACTAAAATGAAAATATGTTCTATTTATGATTATGGTCTAGCTTTTTAACTAATTTATCACTTTTTTTCATGAGTGTTTTCATTAATATTGTATTTTACTACTTTTTCTACTCTTAGTTTTGATCAAGCTTTAATCCAAAAGGTACCAATGATAATATTTAGAATAATTAACTTCAAAGTTTTGCTAATATTTTGATAAACAGTGATGAAGAACAAGTCCAGGAGCAAAATATAGCTTTAGCGTCGAGTAATTCCCTAGTTATCCCAGAAGATGATTACAAATGGAACAAATATGGACAAAGGTATATTAAAAGTATACAAAAGAATAGGTACGTACATTATTTTATATGACTTCATGCATATCTATGAATTTCATAAATTTGAATAATACATTATAAATTTTATAAATATATAAATATGTTCATGCAGAAGTTATTTCAGATGTGTGTACAACATCTGTAAGGCGAGGAAGAAGGTGGATTGGCCACTAAATGAACCAAACAACTTAGATATATCGTACGAAGGAGATCATAACCACGGAGCCTTAGCAGCTGGTCATTCATAAAACGAAGAAGTTGGAATTGCATCTAATCAATATGATTTAGCTCCTCAGATGTTTGGATCAGCAAGGACTTAATTAGCTTGTTTTACATTTGCATAGTAACTTTAGAGTTCAATAATTGAGGGAAATGATGTGTAATGGGTACAGTTTTGTCTTCTGTGAAGGTTAGCTATCTACCTTTCCCTATAATCTATCAAGTGATATGATGCTCTTGGATTCAGACTGGTCAATTTTAGAGATGTTTGGCTTAGAAAGAGTATAATATATTTACTTATCTATAATGGCATATGTAAAAGGAAAGTTTTCTCTTAAGTAGCGGTTGACCTAATTGTTTGGAAATAGGCAATAAAGAGTAAAATATCTAGAAGATCTATGTGTATATATCTAGAAACTTTTATTTTATTTTATATGGAGATTGATTTGTATAAGAAAATGGTCACTTATAAGGTCTTCATCTACAATAAAATACTTACATCTCAATATATATACAACATGGATGGAGACTTCTACTCCTACTCCCGCACACTCAAACATGGAACTCTTAGCTCTTTTGATGCATGACTTTGACTAAGGTTGATCATGCTACTTTTTCAATGCTAGAACATTAACCGCATTTATAAAAAAAATAAATTTGGTAATATTTTTGATAATATTAATAAGGCTGAAAATGATCACTACAAGAAAATAGCCGATTTCCAGCGGTCGTGACCGGCGGTTACCGGACCGCCGGTTCTACCGGCGGTGTAGCAGGTGGTTTAGCCGCTGGCAATTACCGGCGTGCTAACCGGGGGGTTTGTAACATTAAGCCGCCGGTAATAGCGACGGTCATCAAACTTCCGGATAAATCGTCGGGCATCAATATGACTGGCGATGTATCCCGCCGTTGATAAGTGATCCCATTACCGACAGTCTTGACCGCCGGAAGGCCGCCGATAATTGCCCTAAAATTAACAAGCCCAAGCCTCGCATTTCATTTCTATTCTTTCCTTCTCTCTCGCTTCGGACGAACTCTGCCGTAGCCTCCGCCCGCATCTCGCTCGATCGATCTCGCTGTCTTTCCGCCGATGACCTCTCTCCAAACGGAGACAAACTAGCTCCGACCGCCGACCCCACACCGGCCGCCTTGCGCTCGATCGAGCTCTCCTGTCTTGCTGCCTTCGATCTCACACCGGCTGCCGTAATTTTTGTGTGAGTTGAAGAAAAATTGGGATTTGAAGGTAATCTTTAATGTTTTTCTGTGATTATTTGTTCTCACTAGACATTTGCAAGAGTTTGTAATTTATTGTATGATTTAGGTTATAATTTAGACATATGCAAGAGGTAATGTTGTAATCGTTTGAAAGC